GGGAACTTCTGGAGGGGCTGGACATGTTCAAATCAGCAGGTCCAGATGCTCTCCACCCCAGGGTGCTGAGGGAATTGGCAGGGGTTATTGAGGGGCCTCTGGCACGGCTTTAGGAGCATTCGTGGTGCTCTGGCCAGGTGCCAGATGACTGGAAGAGGGCTAATGTGGTCCCCATTTTCAGAAAAGGGCGGAGGGAGGACCCAGGCAACTATAGGCCCGTCAGTCTTACTTCAATCCTGGGGAAACTCTTTGAGAAGATTATCCAGGAGCACATCTGGGAAGGACCGGCAGGGGAACGACGCTCAGGGCGACTAGCATGGGTTCATTAGTGGCAGGTCCTGAATGACCAACCTGATTCCTTCTATGATCAGGTCACAAAATCATTGGATGCAGGTGTTGCAGTGGATGTAGTCTTTCTGGACTTCAGGAAGGCCTTTGACACCATCTCCCACCCCATTCTCATTAAAAAGCTAGGCAACTATGGCATTGATGCCTAGTCAGATGGGTCGCAAATTGGCTGAGGGACCACACCCAGAGAGCGGTGGTGGACGGGGCATATTCGACCTGGAGGGACGTGGGCAGTGGGGTCCCCCAGGACTCGGTCCTTGGGCCCACACTGTTTATTAGCGACTTGGACAAGGGAGTGAAAAGCACCGTTCAAATTTGCTGACGACACTAAGATCTGAGGCAAGGTGGGTAAGCTAGGAGGGACAGGACACAGCTGGACCTGGACAGGCCAAGGGTGGGCGAATGAGAATAGAATGGGATTCAATACTGACAAGTGCAGGGTGCTGCACTAGGACAGTAAGAACCAGCAGCATACCAATAGGCTAGGGAACTTCCTTCTCGAAAGCACAGTAGCAGAAAGAGATCTTGGAGTCATTATCGATTCCAAAATGAACATGGGCCGCTAATGTGAAGACACAGTCAGTAAGGCCAACCACACCTTGTCATGCATCCACAGATGCATCATAAGCAGGGCCAAGGAGGTGATCCTCCCCGTCTATGAGACACTGCGTCTAGTTCTGGGCACCGCACTTTAGGAGAGATGTGGCCAGCATCAAGATGGTCCAGAGGAGGGACACTCGCATGATCTGGGGACAGCAGGGCAGACCCTATGAGGAGAGGCTACAGGACCTGAACCTGTTCAGCCTTTACAGAAGGCTGAGAGGGGACTTGGTGGCTGTCTACAAACTTACCAGGGGGGACCAGCGGGGAATGGGAGAGACCCTGTTCACCTGTGCACCTCCCAGTGTAACAAGGAATAACGGCCATAAGTTGTTTGAGAGTAGGTTCAGGCTGGACATTAGAAGACACTACTTCATAGTCAGGGTGGCTAGGATCTGGAACCAACTTCCAAGGGAAGAGGTGCTGGCTCCTACCTTGGGGGTCTTTAAGAGGAGGCTTGACAATTACCTAGCTGGGGTCATATGAGCCCAGTATTCTCTCCTGCCCAGGGAAGGGGGTCAGACGTGATGATCTACTTAGTTCCCTTCCGACCCTACATCTATGCATCTATGAATCTACAGTTCAGGGGCAGCAGCCTAATTAGATTGTCTAGGCCTCTGAGTGCCAGAAGCTGCTAGGGAAGAGGGACAGAAGACAGATCAGTATGAACAGATCTTTTATATATGCTCTTCCCTTAGCATCTATTCTGCCATTGTGAAACACAGGATACCGGGCTACACAGAAATGTGGTCTGACCCAGTATGGCACTTCATATGTTGCTCACAGCAAGATTTGGAGCAAGGGTATCCAAAGTGCATTCCTTAGTAAGCTTTATTTCTTCCCGAGCAAGTTCTCTTTTATGATGGGGTCCTGGGTCCCTAACTTATTTTTTCTCTACACGTACTGTTTTATCGAAGCATATAAAAGCAATGCTATACATGTTTCAGCTATATGTAGAAGAACTGCTATCTTTACAAACACGGGGCTAGTGCTGCAAATATTTCACGCTAGACAATGTTTAATCCCATGAGCAATTACCCATTTGTAGATTCTAGCATACAGACAGCACACAAAATAGTCTATTTATCCTACTGTTGGAGTCCCTATAGTTATCATTTCTCCCACTTCCTCTCCCTCAATTTTTAGCTTTGAGAGAAAATGTAGTCTTTTTACCCTTACCACTTTCACCTAAAATATTTTCATGAGATTGAAAGTATAAAATGTTCATAACCACCCCATAAAAATAATTTTCATACTATTCTATTGTTTACATATTGTTATAAGGCATGTTATATCCATATGCAGTACCTGGTTTGTGCTTTTATGACACAGTTTTCTTTCGGATTTTATTTCATTTTATACCTAAAAATATTAACACAAGAATTGCATCATCATTTAGTTTTTTATTGTAATATCAAACTGGAGTAAAATGTTAACTTCTGAATAAAAAAACAACAGGCCTTCCTAACAAAGCCTATAAAAATATTTTCCAAGATGGCACTTAAAAGATCCTGCAAAGAAATGCACGTGGAAGGACCTTGCCTTCACATAGGCTTCACTGCCTTCAATGGGGCACTACATGACATAGCAGAAATGGAATTGCAATGTAACAATTGTACAAATATTAGCTGGTCAATATGGTAAAGTTACTGTAGAGTTGTTAGTCTCCTGCATGAATGTATCAATCTAGAGTAATAAGCTAGAAGGACCACCAGAAAATATTTCCTTGATGAAAATATTAGAGCACACAATTGAAAGATAATGGGAAAAAGCTATTAGGGTTCACACAAATCCTACATTCAATCTCCAACATATTGTGAGATTCATTTTGCTGTATTGGCAACTAATAGATTTAAGGAGCTATAAGCAATTAAAAAATGATTTCTTGGAGAAGGGAGGGGAACAAGAGTAATCAAGGTCTAAAGTTATACCCCCTAAAGAAGCAGCGAGGGAAACAGTTAAGAAAAAGAACTATTACCAAGATCAAGAAATCTATAGGAAGTTTAAATTTAGAAGGATCCCCACGTATAAAATGGAAGGATGACTGGTGAGGAGGACATCTGTCTAGTCTGTTTTATTGTGTTAATACCAGTTTCTTTATAATCCTCTTTTCCTAAATAAATACTACTTTGCTTGAAGAATGCTGTCTGATTAATATATAACAGTCAGGAAACAACCTGAGGTATTAAAGTAGGATCTGCTAAGGTAATCCTCGTTGATGATAACAAACTGAAACCTAGGGCCCTTTCTGACAGTCCATGGTTCAAACTCAAGAAAGAGATGACAACTCAAGACCTGAGAGGCGGGTATACACAGGGAGATCAAAAGGAATTAGGACAGGGGTGGGCAAAATACAGCCCATGGGTCAGATCCGGCCCACCAGGCCATTCTATCTGGCCTGCAGAGCCCCTAAAAAATGTAGTAAATTAATACTTATTTGCCCCGGCTCCCTGTCAAAAGCTGGCTGGAGCCAGGGGCAGTAGGGCCCACAGGGAGCCCACAGCAGGCCTACAGGCTTAAACAGCCCAGCCCTGCCCACCCCCAGCCAGTTCCCTGCTTTCCTGCTCCCGCCCTGCTCCAGCACCATGTGGCTGCAGCTCCTGGCTGTATCCCTGGACTGTGGAGCATGGGACCACGCTGGTAGGGGTATGTGTGTGCGTGCGTCAGCAGGCACAGGGGCAGAGTATGTGCGTGTCTGTAGGCACAGGGGCAGCATGTGCGTGTGTCTGCAGGCACAGGGGCAGAGTGTGCGTGTCTACAGGCACAGGGGCAGAGTGTGCATGTGTGTGTGTGTACAGGCACAGGGGCAGTGTGTGTGTGTTCACAGGGTGAGTCCCACATGCACACCCCTCCATACACATGCACCTACGCCTCCCCTCACACTGCCATACACAAACCCCAGCCACCGTCCCCCCCATACCCACCCACACACCACATACCCACATCCCCCACAAACCTATACCCACCTCCCACAATATACAAGAATAAAATTTCATTTTAAGCTATTGTACAGCCACTGCTGCATACACTACACAAACACATGTAAATCAGGACAAAAATATTTTTTTTAAATCAAATGAATGAATGTTGTAGATGATCACTTTAGAATATAATTTGGAATTTTTCTGGTTCTGAGATGGCAAAACCCCTTGCTGAAAGGAGTACTTCTGGGGGCAAGGGGAGGGACTTCTGGTGGCAAAGGTCAGGGGTTAGGGGGTGGGAATTCTGGTCACAAGATAGCAACCAGGGGGTGGGGTATCTGTCAAGGGGCGGGGCTACCCATGAGGCCCTTGACAGCTTGCCAAAACTCAGTAAGCAGCCCTCCGCTCAAAGTAATTGCCCGACCCTGAGATAAGAGATACAGTTAGCTAATAAAAGAACAAAAAGTAAGAGACACCAATAGCTTTTAGACTGCATGAATAAAAACTTTGGTATTCTAACTGGCAAAATATTATTACCAAAAACACTGACTCTTATAGAGAGAAGGTTAGATAGTAAGGTTGAGGGTGTTTCACCAAACAAATACAGGTTACTATTTGCTGAAAAACCCTCTCATTTGAAAAGCACTCCCAAAACTGCAGTGTACTGGAGAGTGCTTCAATCTACACAGAATGTTAAAGAACAAAAATGGAACCATTAAAAATAGACAGGAATTTCAAAGATTAGATAGGCTTAAAAATACAGCTACTTCAGCAGGCATTTAAAAAAATGTTCTGTGCATATTAAAAAACTTATTTCTTTAAAGAAAATAGGATATTGCATCCTCAACCACTGAATGGAAAGAAAAACTAGTCAGACATCTGGACTATTTATAAACAAACAAAGAAACAAAAAAACCCAGGATACATGGATAAAGCAGTACTAAGAACTAGTAAAATTCTTCTACAGTCTAGAATACTTGCAACATTTAATAATTCATGACACCACAAAAGAAGGCATCCGTATAAATACTAAGCAAAAGAACCCTCTGTTACTTTAAAAAAATAAAGCAAACTTCAGCTTGTAGTCCAATTCAGTTTCAGATTAAGTGCAGAAATAATAAAGCTTTCAAATGCAATAAAAGAACATTTTTATTAAAATGAAGTTTGTCAAACCTTTATATATCAAAACTAAGGCCACAGCTAATGCTAACATAAAGTCAACTTCAAAAAAATTTATAATATGATTTAATTTAGAAATTTTATACAAAGCTATTTTACAAATGGGTACTTAAACATTTAAGAAACTTAACACTGTATTCTAAAATGAGAGTGTATCATTTATTCTAATGATAGGATTCAGTTACAAAATACTGAAGTATCAGTATGTAAGATGTGTGTTTCTTTTGGTCCTGTGAGGAAAAACTGTTTGTGAATGCATCCAGTAAAAGAAATAAAAACATAATGGGGCAACTGAAATGTTAACTGCCAATAATCCTCCCTTTTTTGTGCTGAATTCACTTCTTTTCTTGTGATTTTAAACATCTCCAGTCATAATTGCAATGAACTCTTCCTGATTGACTGTGGTAAAAGAGACAGAATGTAGTTAGACAAACATACTAGAAATCTATAAAAGAAAGAACAATATTCTATGTACATACTACACATTATATCTTCCCATTTAGTATTTTAGAACAGTTCCAATGCTAACAGAGGTTAATAAATAAAAGCTCTGCCTTCTTTGTTTTCAATTTTTAACAAGTTAAAACTCTTCACTAATGTCTTGACAAACCATAAGGTTAGAATTAAAGGAATTACAGAAAATGTATGGAAGTCACGAAAGCCAGAATCAAGCTACTAAGATTAAAAGCAATATTGCATAAGCACAATTTGGAATGGTGTACAGAGATCTCCTCATTATGCAGAAAAAATTGGAAAGTTATTTAAAGAAATTAAATGCACTGAATACCTTCTATCGTTAGAATAAAATATTTTTCTAGACTGCTTTCACTGTGGAGATAGTGATGCAATTCCAAAGTTCTGATCAAATTTTGATTTCTATTAAAAGCAGTGATTCAACCCTTACTTTATGGTATAAAAAAAAACTCTCTCCCCAAATGTATAGCATGTGACAAGTTATACAAGTCAGACAATCTTAATGAAACAGCCTTTGAACTTGATAGTTAAAATGTCCTGAAAGTATGTCCAAAATCTACTTAAAAACTGGATTGTACTTACACGACTTTATTAATGATTGCTCAATTCTGTTCTTATGATTATGTAAAATATAAAAAGCTAACATGTATACAACTATCTTAGGTGTTGTAAAGAGTCGAAAAGTTCTCATTAGCACATTAATTGACCTAATGTTAACATCCTTTAGAAGTTCTATGACTATAAACTAGCTTGAGTATAAGTGCTTGAAATGCCTTCCAGGCATTGCTGCCTCACATTCATTTCATACCTAGGCAGTGCTACCAGAGGAACTGAAGGAAGAGTGAAAGTCGTCAGTAATACACAGAGATATTAGGAGTCAGGGACTAGGCTTTCCTCTTCCAAAACGTATGTGAACACACATGAATCCAAGTTAAGTGGCCAGTGCACTCTAAGCAATTTGTACAGCTCTAGTGTACAAATCTAACACAGTGAAAGAAAATGACTAAAGGTTAATGTTACCCATCTCCTAATCATCTTTTAACATCATGTGGAAGCATTCTCTTCCGGTTTGTTATTTAAGCTCCCTCTACACATGAAGGTGAAAGGATCTAAGGGATCTGGTCTACATGTACACGGCAGGACACACAAATATGGGTGCTGACAGACATGCAGCTCCCCACTGTAAGTCATGGCGTTTTAAAGAAAATGACATGAATTATGGTGACCCCCTATCCACCAACCCAACAGACATTCATTGTTGACTTGGCGGGATAGGGGCTTGAGCTCCACTTTGGAGCCAATCCAGGAGGAGCTGCGTGTCTGCAGCCTCGCTTCCCTAGCACTCCCCACCACCCCCCCTGCCTCCTCCCCCTCGGCTCCAGTACTGCCTGCATGATGGGAGAGAAAGGAGGGGACAGAGCTCCAGGCTGGGGTTTGCTTCCACCTGTGCCCCCTCCAGCACAGGCTGAACAAACCTCAGCCCACAGCTCCAGTCTCCCGCTTGTCCCCCTCCCATCATGCAGACACCACCAGGGATGAAGCTGGGCTGCTGAAGCCCTGCCTCAATCAAACAGAAGTTAATGAAGTCACCCTGCTTTGGAGTGCCTTCATCTGAATCCTCACATAATGCGGGATAACTTGGCATATGACCAGGCACTTTTAAAGTGCTCTGCAGATGCTCTACAGCCATGCACTTCTGTCAGGAAATGGCTGTAGAATATTTTCAAGAGGCCAATCACATGACAAATGTCACTTCTGTCAGCACCCTGTGGAATCATGCATTAGATCCAATCACACATTAAATCTAATTGTGCCTTACTGGCAGTGTGGGGGGAGCCCAATCTTGGATTCCCCCTACATCAGCAAGAAGCAGGATCCCACAGCTGGGAGTCCCCTTTGCTGAGGGGGCTCCCAGCCATGGGAACCATGTGCAGCCGAGATGGAGAGCCCATCAGACGTGGGGATTCTAAGTCCTGGCTGCCTATGGGACGCAGCAGGGACTCAAAGCCCTGCCAAATGCCCCTGTTGTGCCCCATAGGCAGCCAGGATTAAGAGCCCCGTGAGCTGTAGGACTCTTAACCCCTGCAGCCATAGGGTGCTGGTGTGGTCTCCCAGCTGTGGGGGTGCCTGAAGCACCCCAGGGCTGGGAGATCAGAGTAGCCATGATCTCCCAGCTGCTTCCTGGAGTGCTTCCTCACCTCTGCACCTGGAAGACTGCATTGGCTGTGATCTCCCAGCCCCGGGGCGGGTGTTGTGCTCCCCAGTACCTGGGAGATCGCAGCAGCTGCGGTATCCCAGCTGCAGACTGCCTATGCATGCAAATTAAAACTGGATAGAAACAAGCTGTAAAGTTATTACACATTTTTGAGCAATACCTTTATAACTGTTAGACCTTTTTAAGGCGTGATAGTTAATTTGCATGTGTAGCCAGTCTAAATTCATTGTGCAATTAACAAGGTAATGGTGCAATAGATAACATGTAGAGGGGGTCCTTAATATTCACAACTTGTTTTAAGCAACTTGTTGTATTCTGAAATGTTTAGAACTGAAAGAAATGTCAACACAAAATAAAAGATATTAAAATGGAGGTTAAAATTTTGCAGTGCATATCATTAGCTTAAATGTGAGACATATGGATATCTAAAATCATAATTATCCTAAAACCAACAACTGCAAATAAAAATTAAGTTGTCACATTTAAAAGAAAATATGGTATTAAAGTTATGGAAATACACAGTTAAGCCACACAAACATTTATTTCTACATCTACCTATTCCTAAATCTACATTGCTCTGCCATGTTAAGGCAAAAGAATATAAATATCAGCTTAAGATCACTGACTTTAGATCAGCTTAATCTAATTTGGGACTGTAAACATTGAAATATAAATCAATCCCATAGCTATTTTATGTTTGAGCAGGTCACAATTAAAACTGACTGGGTGACTTAAAAGTGCATTTCCCTAACTTAACAAGCTTAGCTCTTTTTTAAATATAAGTATAATTCTGATATTTTTAATTGTGTTCTGTAATGCCTGGTATTTGGATAGTTATATTTCTATCATTTATGTTAATGATATATTGTCTCTACCTTAATTCCATTTTAAATGTAATTTTATTTCTTAAAATAGTAAGCAATGACCTATGAGAGGTTTTTAAAATTATACCTGAGATTAGTGTTAAGAGAAAATTTACATACTGATAAGGAGTTCAAGAACTAAAAGACAATCTTGCCAATTAGAAACTAGGAATAAATATTATGGCCTGTGCTCCCTATTTAACATTAAAAACAACAGACATATGGATCACATTACTGAAGAAAATGTGAAGAGTATGTAGGCGCATAAATTAGTTCAAAATAAGTTTGTTAGTTTCTTTAAAAAAGGAAAGAAAAAGATAGCAAAGACTGAAAAACATGATGAGAATCACGAAAGAGGATGCATGTTGGCCAAATTGGCTTCTATTGCAATAGCTTATACAGTATGCAGTGAAAGTTCAAGTCTTAGTGAATGTCTTTTTTAAGTACGGTGCCAAACATAACGATACAGCACTTTATTCATCCAGGTACAGAGTGATGACTTCAAGTTTTACTGCATGAAGATGGGCACACCCAAACACAGATATTCTTTGGGCTTACAGGGAGCCATATGATAAACAAGCACCAATGTGCACCATATCACAGAAGCTACCTTGCTATGCTGAGTTTATTAAATGAATTCAGGAAATTATGGAGTTCTATAATAAATATGAAGGAAGGAATAAGTCAACATTGAAGTCAGCTGACTGCATGAAAAAAGTGCATCAACTAATGTTTTTTCCCCACATTTCCAAGTATGTTGTGCTGGGAAAGGGTGAAGGGATTCATCTAAGCATGTATCTTATTTCTTTATATAGTTATATTTAGGAACCATTGAAATTCCACACTCTGTAGTGACTTTTTAGTTAGTGACACCGAATGTAAATTCAGGAACAAGAACCTTTGAGTTTGCACTCAAAAAACAATAAGTTCTGCTGCTAAAAGTAAGTTAGGTGGAGTTCTATATAGCTGACAAGATTCCAAGGTAGGTGCAAATCTTAGTGATTTCTAAAATACACTATTTCTAAAACATGTACTTAAAGTCTCCAGCAAAAATAGTAATAGGAAACTTGAAATTATAATTTTTCATAAATAGCAATAATATCCATCTGTTGTAGGTCACATTGTAGCAAAACCCCCCGTTTTTCTTTTTTAATAAATATATATACATATACACATACATATACGCATTCCCTTCCCCAATTATTTCTGGCTTTTCTTTCTCTCCCTCTCTATTCCCTATAGACAAGCATAAGCGAGCTCAGACTTAGGAGAAGCTTTAACATTTTTATTTTGGTAGCAAGTTTTTGGTTTTGGATATCCACTGTTTTATATTGTATTATTAGGTTTGTATTGATTCTTACTGTTGTATATTGTATTATTATCATTTTCATATTGATTTTTATTGTTTCATATGGATATTGTATGGTTTGGGCCTGTGTTTGTAAGTGAACCAAAGTAATGTCAAGTTTCCATTTTGTATGTCAAGTCTCCATCTTGTGTCCTCTCCATCTTGTGCCCGGGCATCCTCTATGTCGCAACTGTATGATTCACGTACCCCTCCCATGTAAATTGGTTCCTAGATGAATGAGAGTGATTGGGAATGACTGAAATACAATGGTAGCAGGCCCCTACTGAATGGCCTGTAACGACTGGGCCATCACCTCGCATTGATTCATCCAGGAACCACGGACCTCACCCAGGAACAGAGACAAAAACCCAGCATTTGAAAGACAAAAGACCCTGCAGAAACAGCAACTCTACCATTGTACCCCACCATTACGATGCCCTCTCCATCTGGACCAGCACCATGCCACACAATCTATCCAACCAGTGGCCCTGCCGGCGAC